ATTTCATATTCTTCTGATACTATCTGCTAACATGTTTCTATCCACTTTCATCTTCCCCAAATCCCTGTAGTCTCTTATGTTTGGTGCTGCCCTTCCTCATCACTATTATTGGTTTATTCCTTGTAATACCTCAAAGCTTACATTTCAGCATTTCAGTGGAGATTTTAGAGAACATGAAGTGAGAACCTGCTGGGTATGCAATCTTGTACTGGAAATCTATAATGTTTTATTATATGGTGAGGCAATTCCCCCCAAAATACTCTTCTTTTTCTAATTTGTCTTGGCTATTATTTCCTATTATTCATCCACATGGAGTTTTGAATCATTTTGTCAAGTTCAAAGAAAAAAAATCCAATTGGAATTTTAATTGGAAATGTATTAAATTGATTAACTTGGGAATGATTGCTTTTTATTTTTAATTAAACTTCCAAGCACTGTTTTTTAGCTTTGCTAATTATAAATTTCTAAATTTATTGCATTTTCTCAGAACCTTGTCTCTGCAATTTCTCCTTTTCTAAAACAGTACAGTAGTAAATGTATTGTCCTGGCATCACCTGGCCTAGTGCTTCTCAATATACAGGGTCCTGGACCAGAAGCATCAGCATCAACAGGGGACCAACAGAAATGCAAATTAAAGGATGACAACCCAGACCCACGGAATCAGAAAATCTGGGTATGGGGCTCAGCAAACCCACAAACCCAGCGGACTCTGGTGCATGCTGAAGTTTGAGAAGTACTGAGGTAAACACCTGATTAGTCATGCAACCTTGAGAAAAATACTTAACCTAAGTCAAAATCCTTCATATGTAACATCAACATATAACTGCATCAACTTTATAGCATTGTTACTAGGAATAAATGGACTAATACATATGAAACATTTAACATATGTCCTCGCATGTTGTGAATACAGAATGGTTAATAATGATCATTGTTGACTTTTACATTATCATAATTGTATTTCTGTCCAATACAAATCTGAAATTTTTTCTGTCATGAACAATTTTGGCAAATTTTCAATGTTAGTTGTAAAAGTGATTACATTTCCCTTTCTTTGTGTATGAAATCTTTGCTGTCTTCATGAAAACAGATATTATAATTTTAAGATCTTTTGTATACTTATTTCTCTTTATTATTATTTTGTCCATTGGGTCTATATGAGATTATACCTTTTGTTAAACTTTCCCCAAACTGTTGCATTTCTATAAAATATTTCTAGCAGTTTGAAAATTTGGTTGATATGTGTCAGTGCCCTATGATACTGCACAAAAATGCCTCTTAGTTTATCTTCATCACAAACTGCATTTTTATTATTATGAAATAGTCCTTTGGTTTTGGGGTATCATTTATTATCATCCTGGTGTTAACTCTGTTTTAATTTACTTGATATATCTTTACCAATGCTTTTAATTTCAAGTATTTTTTATGTTTTTTTAACATTGAAGTATATTTTATAAGCATCATAAAGTTGTTTTATTAAGACATATATATATGTCTACCCTCACATATATATATATATATGTTGGTCTGTTTATCAGGTGGCCTATCTATCTATCATCATCTATCCTTGTATTTTTTTAACTTTTGCTATAGTCACTATGTTTTCTTTTTTTATTCACTCATATTTTGGATGGTTTTATTCATACTAATGGTTGTTTTTATATCTTTTAAAACTATTACTTTTTCAATATTGATAAAGAAATTACTTTTATGACCTCCCACTTAAGGCTACGATAATTTGTTTTCAATGTTCTCATGCAGTCATATTTAATATAATTTTTATATTGCTATTGGATAAATTGCATACTCCCACAATTTGTATGTTAAGGCCTTAACCCTCCATGTGACTGTATTTGGAGATAAGGCATTTGGGAAATAATTAAGGTTAAATGAGGCCATAGGATAGGGTCCTAATCCGACAGGATTGGTGGCCTTATAAGAGGAAGAGAGATATCCCTCTCTCCATGTGCATGCACCAAAGGAAAGCCATGTGAACACATAGTGAGAATGCAGCCAGATGCAAGCCAGGAAGAGAACTCTCACTAGAATGTGACCATGCTAGCACCCTCATCTTAGACTTCCAGCTTCCAAATCTGTGAGAAAATAAGTATCTGTTGTGTAAGTCACCCAATCTATGGCATTTTGTTATGGTAGCCTGAGAAGACTAATACATACACCAGTCATTATTAATTATCTTTTGTGTATTATCTTGTTTCTAGGGAAGTTAATTGATGTCTGGACTTTGTTTTATAACTATTTACAATCCTTGACTTAATTTCATTTAAATGGCTTTACCATTAGTATTAGTCAGGGTTCTGTAGAGAAATGCAACCAATAGGACTAGATAACCTATAGATACAGATGTAGATATTGACATAGTTATATAGAAATATAAAAAGAGATTTAATATGAAGGGCTGGTGCATGTGGTTATGGGGGCTGAGAAGTCCCATGATCTGCAATCTGCAAGCTACAGTCCCAAGAAAGCCAGTGGTATAGTTCCACTCAAACCTGAAGGCCCGAGAATGAGCAGCACCAAGATATAAGTGCAGAAGATAAATGTCCAAGCTCAAGCAGAGAGCAAATCCATCCTCCTGCCTTTTTGTTCTATCCAGGCCCTCAATGGAGCAGATGTTGTGCACTCACATGGATGAGGGTGACCTTCACTCAGTGTGCAGATTCAAATCTCTTCTGGCAATAACCTCCCAGACACACCCACAAATAATATTTTATCAGCTATCTGGAGGTCCCTTAGTCCAGTCAAGCGGACACATAAAATTAAACACCACATCACATTATGTCCTCTTTTTTCCTTGCTCTTTGTTCAATTATCATTGTAGCTTGTATTATATCTCCAAGATACCTTTTTCTCCTTTAGGAGGGTATATGAATATCTGAGAAGTGTCTCATAAGTGAAAGACAACTTAGACAAGTATAAAATTCTTGTTTTTCAAATTTTCTCATCAAAACTATGTTGCACATTTATACTCTCAACCCCTCAGCATTCTGCTTTGCAAATATGAGTTTGGATGGCAACATAATTTTTATGCCTTTGAACATCGTGTGCTTACTTTTCCAGTTTGATACTTACTTAGTTTTGTAATTACAATAAAAATTGTCACATGTGGATCTAAATGTGGTTTTCTTTTCATTGATTTTGCCCTAAAACTTGTAGACCTATCAATCTGTACATACTTTCTAGAGCTGAAGAAAGACTTACCTTCTAGTACATCTTTGATGTTTTCCTCTGCTTTCATTGTTCTTTTCTCTTTTTGAGAAGCACTTTTTATCTGCATATTTCTCCATTTTGGATTCTCTGTATGAGTTATAATTTATTTCAGGACTTTGGTCTTTGACATCTGTGATAGTTTCTCGAGCTTGTCCTCCAAATCAATGACTGGATTTCTTGTCATTTAAAATCTTTTTTTTTATTTTCATGATCCACCAGGCTTTTGAATTTTATTATTTTCCTTATGTATATTAATGATTTTATCAATTTTTCTTTCCTTTTATTTTGCAGAATTTGCATCTTAGCCTGGTGGGCTTCTCCTTAGGAACCTCTGCCCAAGAGGCCGTGCATTCCTTACATGCTATTGAGAAAGCCAATATCTTGATTCTCTAAGAGATAATTTCCAGAGGTTTTGCCTCTAGGTCCCTTTTCCTTTTTCTATTTTTTTTTTCCTGTTTCCTCATCTTTGAACAGTTGGGGTGTAGCCACATATTTTAGAACTAGCTATAAATATACATTGTTTCAGATTTCTCTTGGCTTACTCTGAACAGTTCCTACCCCAGTTTCTACTTTCGATCAGACACTTTACTGCAGATCTCTGCCACAGAATCTGAATGCGCTCCCACCCATGTTGGCTTAGTGATATTCCACACTGAAAGACTGATTTTTAAAAACGGGATTGGACATGTACCCATTAATCTGGGTTTTTCCGACACTTCCCCTGCCTCATCAGTCCCCTGTGACATGTGATTTTTCTACTTGTGGAGAATGTTACTCTTTAGGCTAAAATGTGCACATATAAATGCTTAAATGCGTTCTAAGAATTTCTGACTTCCAAATGGAAATAAAACTTGAGGGGGTGGGAGGCAGTGTCCCGAATGCCTGAAAACCCAGTGCCTGTGCCAGAAAAGCAGCAATTATGCAGCTTTCTCTCTTCATCAGAGTCTTGGCCCTATAAAGGCTGAAGGATGAGGTGACTTCCTGTCTTTATACAGGTGATTTTTCTTTCACAATTTAAAGCTTGCCATGCCCTGAGGTGAAGTCTGGGTAGGTTTTCCCTGATGTCAACATTTTAAAAGAGGAAAGTGGGGTCCAGAGAGGTCACCTAACATCATCAAGGTCACACAGCTAACTGTAGAATCGAGGGAGAGCATCAAGGTCTTCAGACTCAGCACACTCTTCCTTAGCAGAACACCATGCTGTCTTTCTTGGGACAAGTTTCTTCACTGATAAATCTATGGAAATATGATGATCTGAGGATTCTCCAACAGGACTGAAGAACATTTCCTTTGCAAAAAATAATATCTAATGTTCTCATCCTGAATCTTATATAAAATAGCAGCATGATTCAATTAATGCTTTCCCACATGTCATTTATCAACTGGAACTTCATCGCAATGGATTTTTACCTCCTCCTAATTACTTCCTTAATTGCACTAGCTCATGTAATTTTCTCCTCTTCTGACCTCTTTTTATCCATATTGTTTTTACTCTTCATTATACTCCACTGTGTGCTTTGGGTCCTTTCTTGGACCTTGTCTCCCTAGATGGCACCCAACATTCTGGCAGAGGCCACGTTTTATCCAACTCTTCTCCCATGCCATTTAGCATAAAACTAGGCCCACAGGAAGTGTTTACAAGTAGCTTAGTCTAGGTGCAATGTTAAAATAGCACATTTCTCAGGAGACCACTTACAGGAAAATTAAAATTTAATTAATTATCTAATAGTATCTGAATTTCTCTTAAGCAGGCACAAAATAGCTTTCGTTTACCTTTTTTGCTTCATCCCTTACATAGGCAGGTCTTCATGGATATTAAGATGTCTTGTTCAGCAAACATTGCACGAGGGTTTCCTCTGTGCCAGGCACTATGCCACTCTGTTGGGAAAAATAAATGAAGAAGATACAGTCTCTGTTGCAAACACTCGCTATCTGATGAGCAAAACAGACATGTATGTAAATTACCTCAGTCAAATTTGGGAAATGCTCCAATAAAGTTATGCACTAGAGGAGAAGCAATCAACTAATTTACCTTGAGAGAGTGTCAAGCTCTCCAGCTCATTCTTTTCAGAATAAAATCCAGCAAGAGAGCCCAATTCCAAAGTACCAATAAAACCCCAGTTCTCCGGGGACTTGAATATATTAAACAAACCTCACCTAATCCCCTCAGTGGTGCTATTTGGGATTCTAAGGGCACTGGGATCTCCAAAGGACCCCAGTAGACCATGACCAACAGCATAAGAAATAATGAACATTTTTACAATGATGAAAAAATAAATCCCTTTCCTGTGTCCTTCTAAATTTACTTTGACTAGCTATTGAACAGGCATTTCATAGATTCAATACATCACAACATATTAAGTGCTGCTCAGCTCCTGCTACTCCTGCTGCCCTGCTGTGGACCGTCTCTTTCTGTTTGCATCTTGCCCATCCTCTGTGCATATAAACTAAGCATCTCCATTTCTGCTCTCAGAGTGTACCATGCCACACAGCCGAGATTTCAAGAACAAATATCAACAGTGGCTAAGCCAAACATATCTTGTCAAGAGAGTGCCACTGCAGTGTAAAGATTGATTTGTCGAGGGAGGTCTTGCATATAAGTAGATGTGAAGGCAGGACTAAGGTTAACAAGTTTCCACTGAGGGAGTTTATTTATAACAAAATAACAAAAGGACAGTTCTGCCTCTGCCAATTCCTTTCCATCTCTTCCTGTATCCATTGCCACAGCAGTTTTATTCATCACCAAAAATCGGCCTCTCCAGCGCAAACAAAGTTAGAGCTGGGGACAAAAAGTTCGCCCTCAGGACTTCTGTATTCATGTAGATCAGGATCAATTCAAGCCAGTCAGCACTGTTGGGAGGTGCCCTCTGTGCCCAGCTCAGTGCTCAGATGCACAGAAGGAATAAAAGAGAAGGGGTAGACTGAACTTGACACATGAGGTGCTCACGGAAACCAGACCTACAGACGTCACCCAAAAGAAAGTGCATGATCAAGAGTTAGTTGCATAAATTCTGAATACTGAGTGTTGGAGGTCAGAGAGGGGAGACACCATTTTAGCCTAGAGCATTCTGGCCCAGCTCAATAGAAGAGGTGGTGACTGAATGGGTACTTAAGGAAGAGGTAGGTTGGGAACAGATTGTGACCAGTTACATGGTTACACATGGATGGTAACTGTATCATCATCTTTAGTCTCAGCAGACTGATAGAACCAGGAGCAGGGCCAGATGGCTGGATGCATAGAGTAGGCAGACATGGAAATGCTTTGATTTGGGTACCCACACACTTAACAAATATTTATTTTATAACCTAGGAGCTAGGGATGCAATATTGTTAAAAGATCTAGTTTCTATCCAAAAGAAGCTCACATCTTAGTGGAGAATACAGATAGTGATAAGCACTTCGGCAGTTATACAAGAGCAGAAAAATTACTTTAATGTCATGGGGGCACACAGGAAGGACATCTAGATTGGACTTGGGCAATAGGGAAGGATTTCCGCAGGAGTTGATATCTGAGCTGAGAAAATGTGGGGAACAGGAGGAAGGGCGACTCTGACTCAATATTTCTGGCTTCAAGAGGCCAAAAAACCCAATTTTGCAATTACACACTTTCTCTTGCAAACACTGTTCTCAGCAAGCTCCTCTTCTAAAATTGCTCTCCCTAAAATGGCAGTAGGTCATGACCAGGTCTAGAACCAGTCAAACCACAAATAGCAGTTGACCTATGTATTCAAGAGCAGGATGCCATTGAGTCACACCACAATAGCTTTCAGGTCCTTAGGGAAAAAATCTTCAGCCAGTTCATGGACAACTGACTCAGATTTTGAAAATCATTGTTTGGATAGCACCATGGCTGGACACTTTTATACTGTTTCCCAGGAAAAAAAACGGGGAGGGGTGGAGGTTTCTAACCCTGGGAAAAGACTCTCCCCTAAGCTTGGCCCCCACTGACCTCCTGCACCTAAAGACTGATGTCAACCATGGCCAATTAACTCTAAAAAATGTGTCCCTGGACATAAGGGGAAAGAGGTAAATATGTGGAGAGCATCTATTTCCCAGTCACAGATTTTAGATCTCCCAGTGGAAGAGAATAAACTAAGGTATAAATTGTTGCAGAACTGCCCTTTGGGCATGAATTTAAGGCATGCTCCTACCCTCATCATCTCCAGCCCCGTTTTCACAATCTGGGAGGTACCTGTGTTGCCTTTTGAATTCTGCTTCCTCCAAAGAACCAGCTCATGGCTCTCATCCTTCCTCCAACTCTAACCTCATCCAGCTCTACTCTGCACCATTATATCTGGTTTCTCCAGGGTAGGCCTTGTTTCTTCTACTGACTTACCTAAGCACCCAAAACTCCAGTCCCACCAAGGTTTTGCCCACCTGGAATCTGTCTTCTGGACTAGCAATGCCATCCTGCAATGCTTTCTTAATATCTGATAACTTCCTGTGTTTGGAATGGTCACCATTAATGACTTGGAAAGGTGAAGAATTAATCAGTGAAACAGCATATTTTAGAGAGTTTTTTTTTCCTTAAGGTTTTTAGTATTTACTGGCACCCAAAGAGTTTAAACCACACTGGATGAGAGAAGGCTCATGATTAAGAAGAGAATGGATCTATGGAAAGCATTCAAGTGAAACTGAGCCCAGAAAGTTAGAAAGGAAAATGATAATTTTTTAAAAATGTATATATTATACAAATACATAATATATTATAAATTATATATTAAGTTCTGTTGACCAGTTACCATTGTGGAAATATCTATTATACATAAATAACATTTCCCCAAAATGTGTAGAAATGTGTTAAAAATACACACTTTACTAGATTTTCAAAAATAGTTTAATGGTTTTGATGATTATGTTGCTAAAAAATGTTTTATTTCTTTGACTTCCTAAACAGAATATACAAAATATCTATCAGAACAACAATTATGTTCTATTTCATACAGTTTGCAATTTGCTTCTAGAATTAATGACCCCAGAGCTGTGCCTTTGGATTTCTTGTGAAAATTTCTAAAATTTTCTTTTCTTACTCTGAGGCTATTGGCAGCACCTTCTGCTTTGGGTGTGATTTCACTGAGCTGCCTTTTCCTTTTAGTATGATGATTTTAATCTGCTTTGGGCTTGGAGAGTTAAACGTTGCCCTTTGTAAGATTTAGTCATAAAGTAAGTGTCAATGGGTCATGATGACCGTGCTTAGGAGTTAAGATTTGATACCTGATTCTAGCAAACACTATTTAAACCAATAAGCCACCTTTCCATTTGGTTCCAGATTTTTATTTCTATTTTAAAGTTCTAGGGTGCTATAAGATTGACATCAGAACACTGAGTCATTACTATTTTCAAAGTTATAACATGAAGATTTACTGATTTACAAGATATACAAAGTTATAAAATCTGGAGCCAGAAGGGAACTAAATCTTAAAGGAGTCACCCATCTTCTTGGGGTACAATTATCCCCAGAATATAGAATTAAGATGAAACAGAAGCCAACAGGCAACTGACTCCAGTGATTTAGTGACAGTGTTGTATGAAAGGTATAGAGAATAAAGTTTTAAGTTACTTTTTCTAATAACTACCCATTTTCCATTCTGAGCCTTGAGGACTGGTGAGCAAATTTAGCTTTTACAATGGCGCCATTTGGGCTGCATTTATCTTTTCCAAAGCTCTGAAAATGATTGTTCAAACAGAAGCAGCGCCAAACAAGGGAAGGTAATCTAAATTGTATTTGGTTGTACAGGTATTAAATTTGAGTCCATTTGGAGCAAATCTGGAGCTAGTTTGATCTCAACCAAAGCAGGTACAGAAACATCACATTCTCCCATTAATGAATTTTTGCAATGCAGTGGATATCTATACCTGAGGTCACCAGTACACAGAGATTTGAGCCCATGAGAAGAGTTCAGCTTTTGAGTTAGTAGTGATTCTGGATAATACCTCACTTACTCCTGCCCATAACCACCACACTCCAGAAGTTATCACAAATGCTCAAAAAGAAAAGGAAGAGGGGAGAAAGAGAGAGGAAGACATGGGTTTGATATCTGAAACCACATTCCCTTTGTTTCATATTGGACTAAGAATCTCTTCCTTCCTACCTACCTTCCATTTTTATTTATTTATTTATTTTAAAGATTTTATTTATTTATTTGACAGAGAGACTCAGCAAGAGAGGGAACACAAGCAGGGAGAGTGGCAGAGGGAGAAGCAGTCCTCCTGCTGAGCAGGGAGCCCGATGCGGGCTCGATCCCAGGACCCTGGGATCATGACCTGAGCTGAAGGCAGACGCCTAACGACTGAGCCACCCAGGTGCCCCTACCTTCCATTTTTAAAAACCATCTAAGGAACACAGAATACTGTTAGGTACTAAGAGTACTAACCCAGACAAACACACATAATCTTGCCCTCAAAAAGCTTACAGCTGAATTTACTTCCTTCTCATTCCACCACTGAAATTCTGCCTATAGCCTACTGGCACCTTGCCGAGAAATTTTCACAGAAAATGCCACAATATCAGGAAAGCGGAAATATAAGTCAATTGTTGCCACTGAATTTGATACCTTTTTTAACTTTTAACTTTTTTTTTTTTTTTTTACAATCTAATCACCTGCATTTACTGACAAGCAACTTTTGGGGGAAAGGGTATAGGAACAGATGAATTCATATTATTTCTGTCAGTTCCAAATCTCATAAGGGAGAGGAGAAATCTTCCACATGATAATAGATCATAAACTAAAGTTAGAGTTACCATGTGACTTTATTACCTTATTAGGCCCCAGTTCTTTGCTTTTTATTATTCATTCATGCAATCACTCAAAGAACATGAATTAAATACCCATCAAAGATAAAGTACTTATATGCACAAAATGTTTTGAATGATAGGA